GGAAAGAAAGTTTTAATATGAGAAATATGAGTGACTGTGGAGGGACAGAGAAGACAGTTCAAGAACAAATGTGATGCATGTTTTGTCTAATTATGGTCGTTAAACACCATCTTATCAAATATAAAAGTTGACAATTGTCCTGTTTTTAAGTTTTTATTTTATTATTATTTTCAAACGTTCTGCTGTGTTCGGCGATATCACTGCAGAAATAACTCAAAACTGAAAACAAAAATACGGTTTTGTCCATGGTCCACATGTTTGTGGATAGAAAAAAAAGTCTATTTGGACAGAATTCCCTCTACGGCTAAAGGTACGGCTAAAGATACGGCTAAAGGTACGGCTAAAGATACGGCTAAAGGTACGGCTAAAGGTACGGCTAAAGGTACGGCTAAAGGTACGGCTAAAGGTACGGCTAAAGGTACGGCTAAAGGTACGGCTAAAGATACGGCTAAAGGTACGGCTAAAGATACGGCTAAAGGTACGGCTAAAGGTACGGCTAAAGGTACGGCTAAAGGTACGGCTAAAGGTACGGCTAAAGGTACGGCTAAAGATACGGCTAAAGGTACGGCTAAAGGTACGGCTAAAGACACGGCTAAAGGTACGGCTAAAGGTACGGCTAAAGACACGGCTAAAGGTACGGCTAAAGACACGGCTAAAGGTACGGCTAAAGGTACGGCTAAAGGTACGGCTAAAGGTACGGCTAAAGACACGGCTAAAGGTACGGCTAAAGGTACGGCTAAAGGTACGGCTAAAGATAAATTATTTTAACCTGGATTTGAAGATTGTCAGAGAAAAATCCTGTCTCACGTTTCAGGAAGACTGTTTCTGAAACACTGCCTCTCCATGTTCAGTCCTGACTCTGGGACCAGCAGGAGACCAGTCCCTGTGCTCCTCAGAGTCCCAGCAGGAGGCCAGTCCCTGTGCTCCTCAGAGTCCCAGCAGGAGGCCAGTCCCTGTGCTCCTCAGAGTCCCAGCAGGAGTCCAGTCCCTGTGCTCCTCAGAGTCCCAGCAGGAGACCAGTCCCTGTGCTCCTCAGAGTCCCAGCAGGAGGCCAGTCCCTGTGCTCCTCAGAGTCCCAGCAGGAGACCAGTCCCTGTGCTCCTCAGAGTCCCAGCAGGAGACCAGTCCCTGTGCTCCTCAGAGTCCCAGCAGGAGACCAGTCCCTGTGCTCCTCAGAGTCCCAGCAGGAGGCCAGTCCCTGTGCTCCTCAGAGTCCCAGAAGGAGACCAGTCCCTGTGCTCCTCAGAGTCCCAGCAGGAGGCCAGTCCCTGTGCTCCTCAGAGTCCCAGAAGGAGACCAGTCCCTGTGCTCCTCAGAGCTGTCCGTTGTATGTTTTTCTGATAAAAATCCTAAAAAGTCCATAATCGGAGCACAGAGCTGAGACCTGGACTAATGTGAGAGGACTTCCCGGTTGTTGTCAGGAAAAGGTTTGGAAAAAAAAATTGTCTTATGCCGTAGGTTGGAAAACAGTAGATTACAAAAATAAATTCACTTCAATCAACTGTTTTAGCTTTAAGTTAAGATAAACCGGTTAAATAATAATAAATCGTGTAAATAATCCGGGGGAAACAGGAAATAGAAATCTCACAAATGCAGCTGTTTCTCTTTGTAAACACTTTCAAAATGGCCGCCGTAAAAACTGCTGACTAAGGAATCCCCCGCCGCAATCTGCTTTATCCTCCATCTCTGAGCAAACATATACAAAAACAGCAAATAACCAAATGTTTAATGCATCTGGTTGCCAGGGGAAACGGGAGCCTTCACAGATAAATATTCCATTACAGAGATAAGCTGGCAGCAGCGAGAGCTCGGGCTCAAAGAAATCTATATGCAATTTATTTACTTGTTCTTTTCCATCTAAAGCAAAAGCAAGCCACAGAAATGAGAAGTTATTTTTACTAAAGTGGCGGCGGAAAACACGGGGACGAGGCTGAATACGAAAACACGTTAAAGTATGAAATAACCCGATGGAGCCGTGATGTTTTGGCTTTGCCCGAAACGTTCTGAAAGTTTGTGCTAATTCTGCTTCTACTTCTTCATTCATTTAACAACAACAACAGGATCATGTCGAGCACAGAAGGAGAAAAACTTGTTGATATTTGTTAAAATCGTTATTATATTTGTTAATTATTCTATTTGTCTCCTTTCGTTGGTCTGTGCTAGACGTTCTTGATATTAGCTTTAAGGAAGTTCTAAACACCTCCCGGCTGCCAAATAATAGAACATCATGTTCTATTTGGTCTAGTCCTGGTTTAGTCCCGGTTTGATCCTGGTCTGGCCCTGGTTTGGTCCTGGTTTGGTCCTGGTTTGGTCCTGGTTTAGTCCTGGTTTATTACAAAAATACTCTTTCTCGATGAGCCCTCAGTTAAATCTATTGCATTATTAAAATTTCCTTTCACTGCAAAAAGTGATGAAAAAAGTAAAATGTGTCTTAAATCTGCACTAACTGACTTTGGGATTTTGACACACACCCACTGTTGTTGACGGAGCTAGCGTCTCCCAATATGGATAATACATGGACATGGATTTGCACGTGGATGGCGTGACCATAGAACGATAGAACCGGGAAGCGCAGAGGAACGAGACTTTCTTTTGGATGGCTGTCTCGCTGTGTAAGCAGTAACCGGTGACGAAAACACAAAGCTTCAGGTTAGCTCCTCCGCTTGTTGTGCTAACTCAGCTGTCTGTGCTAACAGAGACCTGTAGATTTCTCACGAAAGTGGGGGCCAGTGGTCCGCGGTGATTGGTCACAATCTGCGACCCGAAACACATTCTCTTCCTTGTTTCATCAAAACTCGATCTAAACTATAATGTCACACCAGCACAAACCTGCGCTACTTTTTCTTCAAAAGGACGTTTATCCCAAAGCACTGCATGGACATGGATAGCACTTTAGTAATGAATACGAAAATAAAGTCAGTTAGTGCAGCTTTAATCTGAGCACATTCTGACTGAGCCTAAAACCAGGTTCTCCAATGGGACAAAACAAAATGAAGTTGTTTTAAAAAGATACAGAAACGTCTCTTGGAATGAGACAAAATATCAACAACTCTTGAAGTAAAACGTGATATCTTTGTCCCATCGGAGAATCTAGTTTTATCACAGTCACAAAGCAAACAGCAATATTTTCCTCATTTCATCATTTTTTGCAGTGTTATTCTTACCATTCGAGAAATAAATAAACCATTCTGCCCTTCCCTGAGATCCCCCTCCCTCCTGTACTCGAGTATCCGATAACACAAGCAGATCTCGTGCACGCCATAAACGCCTCGCGGACAACTCCAACATGGCCGCCACGCTTCCCGTTCCCTCGGTCGGAAAAGTGTGATGAATCCGGGTCTGCAGAGATCGCAGACAGATGCAACAAGAGGCGGAAACACAAGACGCGTCAATTCCACCGCCATTAAACATGTTGTAATTACACCCCCCACGGTTGGATTCAGACGCAGGACGTGCACGAGGAGCCTCAGGAGACCGCAGGACTCACCGGGAGCGTGTGAGGAAATGTGAGGACGGAGGTAGATTAAAGTCTTTACTGTGTCTTTCTTTCAAATGATGTCACACGTTTATTACCGAAGAGAGACCTCAGAAACATCACATCTGCCAGTTCTTTGTTTTAAACTAGCATTATCTAATATTTTCATGTCAAGTCAAAATTAAATGGCCCCAATATTTCAAAATACATCTTAGTTCAGCCGAGATATTTGAATATCCAGTTTTATTAGTTTTACGACCCGTAAAAGTTGTTATGGTCTCCGTTTCAATGTCCCGCCCTCCGCCGTTTCACTGATCAGGAAGTCTGTGATGCAGGTTGCCAGACCTCACGGCGTGGAGCTAATCTCACCGGTGGAACATGTCAGGCCGCAGGACTCGAAGACGGTCCTGTTATGATTCTCAAATCATCAATGACAAAACAAGCAGTAAAACGAGGATTTCTATCAGGGCTGTCTTTGAAAGATGGAAACAACTGAAGCAGGAGAAAAACTTTTCCTCCCACGCTAATCTTGCTACATTCCTGATTGACAAGTGAGTGACGTCTTATTACTTTTTATACATGAAAATAGACATGTTGTATATAAAATGCATTGTCCAATACAGTCTGTCTTGTCAAACAGCGTGTTCGCGCTTAGCAACGCGCGCATGCTAGCATACCAGATATAGCCCATTTCCATTTGCCTCGACAAACAGGATCGATTGGGAAATGCCTTTTAGCCCTTATATATTGCCGTGTAATCTAACTCGAAGGGTAACATGTTGAGTTGTGTCAGTGCCTCTCGTTCACAATCCGCTGAAGAAATATGTTCCAACATCGGCTAGTTCAGTTCAGTTTGTTTCTTCTTCGGTCACCACATTCCAAATAAATGTTATGTACTGGTAAACAGAAAGATACAGAAACTCTATTACAATAATACATAATCCATGGATACTCATATATATACTGGAAGTGTATATTGCTATTATAGAAAGGTGAATAGAGACAAACAACTCGATCCAATAAATCCTCATTTGTGTTTCCGTATTGTGGACTCCATGTACCAAGTTATACAGTATGAAACAATCTGAAACAGTCGTCTAAAGGCACACGCAGATACAATGTTTAGTTTTCAGTTCTGGGCGTATTCTCCTGTGTAACTATTACTAGCGTTGTAGTTTTCAGATAGTACTGACACTAACCATATGAAGACCAATGCTGTCCCAGTTATAGATGTGTTGCTTCTCTACTCAGTCATTATGGTCCCAGCCCCTCAGCCCTGAGTAGGAGGCAGTGGAGGCTTCTCCATCACTGTCCAGCAGTGGGTTTGCATAATCAGCAACAGCTTCCATCAGGTCAGCAGTGGAACATTATTTTTTTAAACACTTTGCGCCTAAAACAACCACTTCATCTATACGCTCTTTCTACAGAGGAGACGTGTTGCCCGTTCATACAGGGCTGGACCAGGACACAGAAAACGTCTCAAGAGTTCTACAGGAAAGGTAAAGACTTCTAGACTTCTTTTAGGATGGGAGGAGCATCTCAGGCACCATGTGTAGACTCACTGCTCGTCATAGAGGCCGGTGAGACTGTTCACGACGTCCCAGATGAAGAACCTCCATCAGACGACGTAGCTCCACTCCACAATCCAGACTTTCCTGACACACTGCACGTCATGAATGAAGAGGACCTCATCGGCAAACCTGCCTCCGTCATTTATGAAGACAGTTTGAAGCAGTTGGCAAAATTCCTGGTGCTTCCAGTGAAAAAGTGCCCTTGCACAGGTGGTTTGCATAACCCGGTGGAGCTCCATTTGAAGTAAGCATTATTTGCCGGGTACTGCAAGCATCATGGAATGGGTAAGTTTTGCAGTCTCATTAAATCAAGAGTTGTGTTGAAGGCACTTCTAATGGGTTGTCAATACTGTAGTGAAACTTGATTAGGCATCCAGTCTTAGATTTAGACTAAATTGTGTCCCATTCTTCTCAGACATGCCCTGTTGGTCATGTGGTGTGGAGATGGAGTTCACAGCCCTATGTGAGATATGGGATGCTGGCAGGAGACTTCCTGTTGGCAACGAACATCCTGCTCTCCGGAAGCAACTTTGCCAAATGTTCCTAAAATGTGCTGGTATCTACTTCCGGGTTTTTTGGGATCGCCTTTTCTCGCATTACATCAGTGTTTTTGTCATGAAAACAGAAGCAGAACATTCTGAAAACTTCCGTGCACTTGTATTAAGAATGTATATGTATAAGTATTCTCTGATTAACATTTAATGGCGTTGATTGATTGGCATTTGCGTTTTTTGAGCGGCCAGAACTACTTCCGGGTTTTTCACGATCGCTTTTTGACGCAGATAAATAGTATTTTTGTCATGAAGACAAGACCAGTAAATTCTGAAAACTTCTGTGCACTTGTATTAAGAATGTATTTGTATAAGTATTCTCCCATTAACATTTAAGTGTGTTGATTGAGCGTGGCTAGCTCCGGAGTGGCCGGAACTACTTGCGGAGTTATCCACGCATTTGAAATACAAGCAGAGAGTGCGTTGCCAAAGGGCAGCGGTCATTATTGTTTTGAGAGGTCCGTTATAGAAAATAATGACCGGTAGAACGTTTTGAAATTACATTCAAATCAATGGAGCGTTCTCCTGCTGCTCTGAGGAGCGTGTGATAAAGAATGATATATAATACATATTTTTTGTTGTTGTTTTATTTATAAATTAAAAAGCGGACGAAAGAATGGACAGTCCCGGACATCGCGCTCAACACTGCAGCTACACTGCACTGGAAAATGACTCTCGGGAAATCATCTCTGTCATCACTGTTGACAAAATGGAGACTGTCATAACTGAGAGAGAAGCATCGGTCTCTTGTGAAAGAGATGGAACTGGTCATGTCCAGATATCTGCTTTAACCTCTCAAACTCCTACATCTGTTTTGGCTCGTGCACAAAAGTTTGGGCATACCCAAATGTCTTTGCTGATTTAAAACCACATCTTACATCTCACATGCTTGTGTGATGCATCATTTTAAAGCCAGAACAGAGAGCGCTCCAGTGCTCGGCCGGGGATACAAATAAGTCAGGCAAAATATGTCTGAATTTGAGCACATTGTGACTGACGTACAATAAGGTTTTCCACCTGGACACAGCAAAAATATCTTGTTTTATAAAGATTCAATAAATGTCTCCTTTTTAAAGCAACAGTTCTTGAAATAAGTCTAAATGGTTTTGTTCCGGGGGCGACAGTGGCTCAGTTGAAAGAACACCGAAAAATGGGTCATCCACAAAAGGTTGGAGCTCCCACTGCGCCCCCCCCCTCCAGGGTAAGTAAGCCCCCCCCTGGTCCAAACCCACGTCTTCGGCCTCATCCCCCGGTGAGCGTTATTTATACACAGCCTTCCTGAGTTTTTTCAATTGGATTTCAGGATACAAAATGGCCGCTGGATCCGGGCGCTCCTCACTCCACGCTTTCCCGCCGGACACAACTTTCCCGGCGTAGATCCGGTGTAATGAGGCCGTAATGAGAGCCGCACTTATGTGAAGGTGACGGTGTCTTTGCCGCCACGGACCGGCCATTTGTGTGTTCGCCGATTGTTCTTCCCCGGGACAAAATTACAGTGCAGGAAAGAGAGGGGGGGTATCATGCTGCCGTCTGCGGGTTTAACCGAAGGGCACGGATTAGAATGTGCAAAGGAGAAGCAGAGGCAGCGGGAAATAAAACAGTCGGCAGCAGAGAGAGTGGACCGTGGACTCTCCCCCGGGGGCTGGAGGCTCCGGCTGGTTCTCAATCCAGAAGAAAACATGTCCTGCTTTGTCCTTTAGGACTGAGATGGGAGCTTGTTTGGGGAATTAAAGCTGGGGTACTGAACTTTTCTTCCCCTCTCATACATAATACATCTTGTTTGTCTGAAAATAAAATGTTGTGAATGAATCAATTCAATGTTTTTGGGCTAAAATCAGACTCGGAGAAATTAGACTTTTAATGATGGATCAACAGAGAATCAGGTGCATTACAGAAAATGTGATAATAACACATTTGGTCTGAAGAGAGAGAGACCGCTGTCCACAAATGTTAACACATGTCCTGGATCTTCACTGCCGGGGGTGTCCAGACTTTTTAGTAAGAGGGCCACTTTACTTCATCAGACTTGACCTGGGGCCGACATCTTGGATTTAAAAACTGGATTGGAGCTGGACTGACTGGATTCTGGGTTTTAAAACTGGTTTTGATTCGTCCTTATTGATTCACGGCTGCATTTTATTCAGAATGTTGTGACACAATCATAAACAAATGTCAGTAAATAACATTAAAGTAAACGACTGGGTTCCAGAGGGTTTGAGGTTTACAACAGGGTACAGCATGACTGTGTTGGTGGAGCTGAAGTTGGCTGGATGACACTGTCAAAGTGCCTCAATGGAGACTTTCTGTTAACTGCAGAGGGCCACATATAATGGCAGAGAGGGCCGTTATTGGCCCACGGGCCTAGGTTTGGACAGGCCTGCTACAGGCTGAAGCTGTACAGCATCACAGAGTGTCAAAGTCAAGGCCCGGGGGCCAGATCCGGCCCAAGAAAGAATGATGTTGGCCTCGGGATGAGGTTTGATCCGTTTTAGAACCGGCCTCACAGAGACATAAGAAAATATTGGATTATTTATTTAACATTCCCCACTGTGGGACCAATAAAGGAACTCTTATCTTATCTTTTCTCGATGAACACAGTTTGTTTTTAGCTGTTGACAAATGTTTTCACTTGAAATGTACAGAGCCCCAAAAATATTGGATTATTAATTTAACCCTTTAAGTAACATTGCTCACTTAAACAGGCTGTATGTAAAAGTGTGGTGCAGAATCTTGTTAATACTTGTCACCAGGGGTTAGTGGACATGTGTGCCTGTAATATGAGCAACATTTGTGGGTGTGGTTATATTGAAAGTTTCTGAGTAAATTGAGTTTGTAAAACACCTGCGGTGCAGCAGCGCGGAGGCGAAGCAGCAGCGGTAGAGCTGAGAGGAGCGAGAGCAGAGCAGAGGGAGAGAGGGTTTTTTATTTTACTCACGAGGTCTTCAGTACCAGAGAAGTACTTGGTCTGGTACTGGCTCACTCAGATTCAGAGGAGGAAGACACGCAGGTGTCCAGTGAAGCATTATTAGTGACGGGGAGACCGCGCTCCATAGTCCACAATCAGCCCCTGTGCAGCGGCTGCTTGTCCTCCGTGTGGCCGCGGTAGAAGCATTCTGTGAACGCCAAGCAGGGACCGTGGTGGAGGGGACAGGGGCCTCATAACACCGGGCATGTGGGAGAAAGTAGCCGCTAATCGCGTTCACTGCCTTTTCCAACGACGATGATGAGGATGAAGGCAGTTCTTGAGTGAAAATAATCCACAGAAGTGGATCAGAAGTGTTGAAGAGCCCGTTGTTTCTTGTTGAGACGATCTGACATGTTCTGAGCCCATTCATTTCATCTGTTTCTAAATGATAAATCCTTTAACCTCATTTCCACTGAGAAAAATAGTGAGCCCACCACTTCTTTTTAAAGGGAAATATTGAAACCAAACTCCAGATTTCATGACTGTAAACTATAAAGAGTGCTGTCTTGATCACTGAAGGTCTTTGAAAATAATACAATTCCATATGGCCGCGAACCAGTGCTAAAACATTATCTATAATCTGGATCAGGGAATTTATTTCTATCCCAAATTAATTTCATACTAAAGATAGTTCACTTTGACTGTTTATAGTATTCCCTGATCTCAAATAACTCCCAAGCTACAGCTTTTTGAAATCTTTATACAATAATTCACATTTTCCAAAATGGCCGCCACCTTGATGACGTCACGATATGCAAATTAGATGACGGATCAACTTCCATCCCAAAGTTTGGTTCAAACTGAAGATATCTCTAATTCCCAGTATGCCTTTATCTCAAACCATTTTAAAGTTATAGCCTTTTGAAATCTTGAAATCAAAATGTTGTATTTTCTTGAAAAAACTCTGGCGCCTAAAGGTTTAATCATTAAATAAAACACAGTCCGCAGTGTTAAAGATCTTGGTTCAAAGGTTTTCTGCATCATTTTAATGTTTGAATAAACATTAAACCAGTCCTCAGCTTGTAACAAATATTTTTTTGGCCTCTGATGTTTGTGGACCTCCCTGCTGTGCGGTAACACACCCACAAACTGCACTAGCACCACATACGGCACTTTATATACAGCACTTTAAAACAAACGCGACACAAAGCAGTGACTGACGAGGACCAACTCTTCGTCTGCAAACTTGGGCTCGTTATCTTAATTGCGATCTTTAATTAGCCGCACTGTAGCGAGTCGCTCAGGTGTGATCGATGCCCTCGTAATCGCGCAGCCATAAAACCAAAAGGAAAATGGAATCAGTGTTTTGCTATCGCTAATTGGAACGTTACGTCAAAATTAATAACAATCAAGTCGTTAGCGTCGGAGGCGGCGCAGGATCAGGTCTCGGTTTCCAATAAGTCTCTGGGTCTGGGTTCACGGGATGATTACGGCAGATCCAGACTCGGATTCTACCAAACAGGACCAAGCAGACGCAAAGCCCGGGTTAGCAAACATACACACCAATTATCTATGATCAAAGATTAGCATTGTCCACGCTAACACACCAACACACATGTCCCCGCCCCTTCTGTCCAATGCGTCTGTTTTCAAACTTCACAGAGCATCCTGTCCGACCTCTGAAGCCAAGCAGGGCAGCGCCTGGTTAGTGCTGTGATGGGAGACCTCTGGGAACAGCAGGTGCCACAGTGGGGCGGCTGCGGCTGTAAAGTGCCAAACTGTGGCTGTGTCCTTAGGCAAGACACTTCCCCCACATTAGAATGAGTCTAATGTGTGTGTGTCTTTAAGAAAAAATACTATTAATATCTTTGTGGTCCTAAACTTGTCTGAAAAGTACTGTTGCTACGTCTAATGAGTTCCACCCTATACCTTTTACATATTATTTACACATATTTCTCTCATTAAACCATATTGAGAGACGTGTAATTGTTGTAAGTCGTAGAAACGCCTCATTAGTAAAACCTGTGGTCGTGTTTATAATTGCACATTTTGGATTCCGTCTCCGTATGCAGATAATGACCTGATTTCTCTCTTAAGGAAAGGGTTGGGCCCGGAGCAAACGTGGCGAAGGTGAAGGAATTTGGTCTCATTAAAGAAGATCTCTGGTGCCAGGCGGCTTCCTGTGGAGCGCCCGGCTTTGATTACGGCACAAGTATATTTATTATTACTGCCGTGTGGGAGAGTTTTACTGTCCTACTGTGATGATGCTCTGATGAAACCTACGACTGTTTTTGTGTGAATTAGCATCGGAATAATGAGTGAGGGCGGAGAAGCAAGTTCCTATTTATGGAGACCGCCTCACGCCGAAAGTATAATATTAGTTAGTACTTTCTTCTCTCAGCTAAATTATTTACTGAGGAAGCATTAGCAACATTAGCATTATTGTTTTTAGCTAGGGCCTTTTTCAAACCACAAAAAATGTACTAAAAATCCATCCAGTTCCTCAAGATTTTATCACTGGGATTCACCTCGAGGCTTTTTCAGACAGAAAAGAGAGAACCGCCCTCAACTGCTCTCAGCCCAAAGAGGCAAATAATGACTCACAGGGCTCCAGGGTTTATGCCACAGATTTGCAAGCATCAGGCGCCCGATTCTGGTATATTTTTTTTTTACATTGCAATTTAGCTTTTGCTGGAAAAACAAAGGGATTTTATGTTTTTCTCGAGTGTCTCTGAGTATACTGTAGGTATAAAGGAGGATTTTCTACTTCCGGGTGGATCTTCAAGACTATTGGTCCTCCCAACTGTCAATCATTCTGGTGACACATGCTCGTCTAATAAGACCAGAGAGTTTTTTTTCAAAATGTGGAGAGGGCCCTTTCCGACAGTATTTTCCTTTTATTGGCTTATTTTCTGATAATCAACAAAGTCCAATACCATGTGGTCTCTCTCTATGGTCCAATACCATGTGGTCTCTCTCTATGGTCCAATACCATGTGGTCTCTCTCTATGGTCCAATACCATGTGTTCTCTCCCTATGGTCCAATATCATGTGGTCTCTCCCTATGGTCCAATACCATGTGGTCTCTCCCTATGGACCAATACCATGTGGTCTCTCTCTATGGTCCAATATCATGTGGTCTCTCCCTATGGTCCAATACCATGTGGTCTCTCCCTATGGACCAATACCATGTGGTCTCTCTCTATGGCCCAATACCATGTGGTCTCTCCCCATGGTCCAATACCATGTGGTCTCTCTCTATGGTCCAATATCATGTGGTCTCTCTCTATGGTCCAATACCATGTGGTCTCTCTCTATTGTCCAATACCATGTGGTCTCTCTCTATGGTCCAATACCATGTGGTCTCTCTCTATGGTCCAATACCATGTGGTCTCTCCCTATGGTCCAATACCATGTGGTCTCTCCCTATGGACCAATACCATGTGGTCTCTCCCTATGGTCCAATACCATGTGGTCTCTCCC